TAAGACTTCGAGGATGTTTTTACGAAACCAGTAAATAGGATATTACCAGAGCATAGTCTATTTAACTATAAGATTAATATAGTAGAGAGCAAAAAACCTACTATCAAGCTAATTTACTAGCTATCTAAGAAAGAGTCTTAGATACTAAAAGAATATATTAACAAAAACCTAAAGAAAGGTTATATCCGTAAATCAACTTCGCCAATAGGATACCCGATCCTATTCGTTCCAAAGAAAGATAGAAGTCTATATCTTTATATAGATTATCAATATCTAAATTCGATTACTATCAAGGACTAATACCTATTACCTTTAATTCACGAGATCTAAGATCGGATCTAGGGAGCAAAATACTTTACGAAATACAATATTACCGACGCGTATCATCGTATTAGGATTAATATAAGCTATAAGTAGAAAACGGTATTTAGGACTAAATTCGGATACTTCGAATACACAGTTATACCCTTCGGCCTTACTAACGTATTAGTATCCTTTTAACGATTCGCCTATACTATATTAAACGAATATCTCAATACCTTTATTATAGTCTATTTAGATAATATCTTAGTATTCTCTAAGACCCTTAAAAACCACGTTAAATATAACAAAAAAATACTTTAGAAACTTAGAGAAGCTAAAGTATTTCTTAAACTCAAGAAATACAAATTCTATATCTAGGAAATAGGGTTCCTAGAATATATTATCAGCACTAAAAGATTTAGTATAGAAAAAGAGAAAATTAAAAGTATTCACGAATAACCAACGCTATACAATATTAAGAATATCTAGAAGTTCCTTAGACTCGCTAACTACTACTAACGAATAATCCTAAACTATATATATATCACAATAGGACTCTACCGATTCACGAAAAAAGGAGAAAACTTTATATAGAATAATATAGCAGAAAAATCGTTCTAAGACCTCAAAAAACTCTTTAAAAAAGATACAATCCTCGCAATATTCGACTATAAGAAACTAGTTATAATTAAAATAGATATATTAGACTATATATTAAACGTATAATTAACCTAACTAGGCAATAACAACAAGCCTCGATTAATCACATTTTAGTTAAGAAAGATAATCGCAGCAGAGCTTAACTACAATATTTACAATAAGGAATTATTAGCTATAGTATCAATATTCTAAGTCTAGAGACTATACCTAGAAAGAGCTAAATATATAGTCACAGTCAAAATAGACTATAAGAACCTTACATTCTTTACAACGACTAAAATACTTACTTAACGATAAATATAATAAGCTAAAATCCTCGCGTAATATAATTTTAGAATTATTTATTACAAAGAAACAAAGAATAACTAAACTAACACGTTAAGCCAACGACTAAATTACGAGCTTAATACTAAAACAGTAGACCCAGCGATCCTTAAATAAAACAAGGATAGATCAATCGGCTATAATAGATAAATCCTCATAGTAACTATTAAACTTAAGAACAATAAACTATTAAGACAGCTCCGAGAAGCCACTACTAACGACTAAATAATATAAGATTTACTTAAGGATTTAGCAGAAAACGACAAGTTAACAATAAATAAAACCAGACTTGTATATATATATAGATTAATATATATTCCAATATTACTACGAGAAGAGGTTATTAAACGTCACCACGATATACCTATACACAGGTATATAGGAACCGAGAAAACCATAGAATAGATCTCACATAATTTCTACTTTCCGAATATAAAACGAAAAATCATATACTACACTCAATAATATAATATATATCAACGAAACAAACTAGCAAAATATATATAATATAGAAGATTATAATCCGTAGAAACCCCTACAAGACCTTAGGAATAGATCACTATAGACTTTATCACAAAGCTACCAGACTTAGATAGATATAATATAATTATAGTTATAATCGACAGACTAACTAAATACGTTTATATAATCCTAATAACTAAACAGATTAATACAATCTAAATAGCGAATATACTACTTCGCTATATCTTCGCGAACTACAGTACACTAAGCAAAATCATATCTAATAGAGATAAGCTATTCACATTAAATATATAGCAATTATTCGCGGACCTTATAGATATTAAGTATAGACTCTCTACCGTATACCACCTATAGACTAACGGATAGACAGAAAAGATTAACTAAACCCTCGAGCAATACCTAAGATACCACGTTAACTATTAGTAGAATAACTAGATAGGATTACTACTAATAGTATAACTCGTATATAATAACGTAATAAACTTAACAACTAACGAGACGCTATTTTTCGTAAATTATAGATATAATCCCACAATTATCGGCGAACTAATCAGTAAATAGATAATCGTAGAATCAGCCAACTTTTTAGCTACAAGACTTAAACAGCTATACTTATAGCTATCCAGAGATATCAAATTTATTAACCTCCGTATAAAAAAATATTATAACTAACGCTACTAAAAAAGACCTAATCTAAAAAAGGGGGAGAAAATATATCTCCTACGTTAAAATATTAAGACCAAACGACCTAGCAACAAACTTAATCACTTAAGAATTAGACTATTCACTATTAAAGAAAAAAAAGGACTAGTTATATATCTCTTAGATCTACCTAACAATATACAACGTATCTATCTAGTCTTTTATATCTCGTTACTCGAACCTATACCAGAAAACGCCGAACTCGCTACTAATATAGGGATCGAGGAAGAAACTAAAAACGAATATAAAGTCGAAGAAGTTCTAGACAATAAACGTATCAGCGGTAAGCCTTACTACCTTATTAAATAGAAAGAATATAATACCGCTAAAAATATATAGGAACCTATTAAGCACCTAATAGATTACTCCTAGCTAGTTCGATAGTTTCACTAATAAATAGATCGAAATTTCCTTCGGCAATCGCGGCCTCGACGCCCCAGAAGCCAGGGGGTATCTAATCTAGAGACTAAATTATTCTTATTAGACTAGTATCCCCTAACGTAATAGCTAATTAACGAATCTCCTACTACTCCGCTAATAGATCAAAATCACGAAACTCCTCGGCAATAAAGGGATCCTCTTTATTTAACTAATCTAATATTAACTAGTCGTGATCCAATATCCGACCACTATATTCCTTAAGAAATTATTAATATTTTTAGAGGCGAAGGACCTTCGCTATCGCTTTATTTATCTTTTACGAATACTAAAGAAATTACTTTTAGGCCTCCTTAAGATTAAACACTAACTTTCGTTTATTTTATTATAAATCATCCTACTCCTTATCTATATAGAAACTCCTCTCACAAATATACCCACGACGAGTATAAGTTAAACACTTTTTACTCTTTACAAAAAAATTTATAATACAACACTTTCCGCGAATAAGATAATAATCGCACAAGAAATCTATAGGGTAACTAGTTCGTTTAATCCTATCACCTAAACGAGCGTTATTAATATATTTATTATATTTCGGTTTAATAATAGTACAGAGGGATATAATAGAATAATATTATAGGAATATACCTAAAAGGGTCATACCAAGAATTTAAGGACTTTTCAAGGACAAAAATCTAAAAGAGAGAGAGATAATATTACGAACCAAACCACCTTACTCGCGTTAATAGAGGTATAGAAGAAAACTAGAGCTAACTAACCCCGCGGTAATAATATAAGATAACAAAAGTATAGATCACGTAGCAATATACCACGATCCGTTACTAAAGAATAGTATATCGGATAGTATATCAGTAAGACTACTATATACCTATATATAGTATACCACAAACAAAGGTATAGAATATTCGGCGAAAGATATATAAAGATACTTATTCATCGTGTATCTAGCTCTTCGCGTTTAACTCATATTATCAACCTTAGTTACTAGTTCAACTCAGATTATCTCGTTTACACTATAATCCTCTCAAGACAACCCCTTTAGTGGTAAAACACCTTCGGTACTTCTATTACTAAGCACTCCTCACCTTAATCGTTCCTCGATACCTTAATAGACCCGAGCCTATATAAGGCCTAACGAATAAAGCAACAGTACAGTTGCGAGGCCGGATATCGTTAGTACTAGAAGACCCTTAGCCTTCTAGTATAACTAGAAAGACCCACGTGTCTTAGTATCTTGAGAAGAAGTATACCTTCAGGTTCCAGCTAACATCCATAGGTGACCAGTGCGTAACATATAGGTCAAGAGGTCTGACCCACGACCCGCCCATAGGCTGACCCACGGGTCGACCCATATAGGTTGTCCGCGGGTCTGTCTAGGTCTAATAGAAATATTAGATTAAAGACTAAGTATTTATAATAATAACTAATAATATATTAAATAACTCTACTCTTATTTTAAATATCTAAAATTCTATTTAATTATTAGATATTAACTCTAAAATAATAATTATTCGGGTTCTATATATTATATATATAATTTAGTTAAGTTTAAAGTAACTATTTAGCTAGATAAAAGCGAACCTTTAGAATAAGGTAACTAAGACTATTTAGTCCGAGGAATATATCTAATATATCTATCGAAAAGTACAAAAACAAGATATTATAATAACTCTTATAAAGATATATATTTATACTCTTTATTTATTAGTTAAAATACTAATCTACTTTATATTTTAGATTAGAAACCTTATAATCTTTATTAATATAAGTTTTTAACGTTAGAAGTCCTTCTTTAGTCTTTAGCCTAATTACCCTTAATTAGTTCTAATTTAAGATATCTAAACTAGATAGAATTTAACCTTTTTAATACTCCGATATATAAAATAGTTATAATTAGTCTTTAATCGATTTTGCTCTAAATATAATTATCTTTATCTTTAAATCGATATAGATAAATAACACTTCTAAACAATTTGCATTTGTGCTGAGGTCGCCGATTCTGGCGTCAAAGGAGGCCAGTAATGGCCTCCTCGGCACTATCCTTCCGCACACGCACTCTCGCCCCAGAGCCATACACCGCTTAACTGCCCCTCTTGTAACGCGCGCCGTCACGTTCTCGTTCAGCTATGTCGGTGCCTGGGCGCGTGGCTCCCCTTCCTCTGCGTCGGCGCCCCGCTCGTGCTTTCTATCGATTTCTACCTATCTCCAGAGACCTACTCCTTAAGCGCTACTATGACCCTTCGTATGGTGAGGTCGCCAAAAATAGTATACTCTATCGGAGGCTTATTGGTCGCTGGGGCAATAGGGGTTTTATAGCTATAAAGCTACTAATAGTCCCTCTCTCCCTACTCTCCTATCTAGCCCTCCTCTCCTCTAGTATTTATCTTTTGCTAGTCCCTCCTTTAATCCGTGCCTCGTAGTCCCTCGTCCCTTCTATTCAGCTGTCTACCTGCCTAGAGCGCCTTTGCATATAACCTTTTGTTTCCCCAGAGGCAACATAAGCGACATCGCAGATCTATCCTCAGCGACTGACAGTGATACTTCGGGGGTGTCTTTCCGGCCTGACTTCGATACCACTGACGACTCCGATTCTAGGGATGCCTCAACTTTAACCGGGCTGACCAACCCGGAACCCAGCTATCTACCCGATAACTATAACGGGCCGTTAACTTATTTAAAACGACCTATGCGCTGCCTAGCGGACGTTGGTGTTTTGCCTGATTTTAGCGATAACCCTAATAACGATATAGACAAGGACCTTACAGATATACCGCTTGATTATAGACGTTTAGACCAAACCAAGGTTCAGGGTCGACGAATAGAAAAGCGCTGGTATAAGTAAGTAATAAATCAGACCTACGTAATAGAGGTAGTTACTAATACGAGGCGTAGGTACTACGGAGTGAAGGCTGCTTAGCCTAATACGCTTTTGAAATAGGATAATCCGGAGGAGGTATTACGCGAGGTTACCCCTAATAACATGTATCGATTTTTTAATTACTGTATAAAGCTGAAATACGGTGAAGACGGTCGATATCTAAAAGGAACGTTGAAAGCTAGCGCCCTAAAAGCTGACTAAAAAGGATTTCGGGGTTACTATCGGAGAATCACACGGACCAGGATTACCTCTAAAGATAGCGAAGAGATTAATACCGTAAATCATTCACCGTAAGCCGACACTCGGAGCTGACTTAGTCTAGGGTATCCGGAAACTTATCGATAAATTCAACCTCGATCAATAAGAGCGAGGCAAAGAGCCGGTGTACGTCTAAGACTTAACTAAATTGAATAAGACGATCCTCCGAACTTAGGAAAGGCGATTTTATTTTAGATACGAACGGATCTAGCTCTATCTCTTTAATATACTCGGTATTTTTACTATAAACTGGCTATATACTCTTCTTTCGCTATAATTTAAATATCTATATTTCTCTATATAGTATAATCTAGATAGAGGCCCTCCTATACTCTTAACGGAGATCAAGTCGGAGTATATAAAGAAATTCCTCGGAACTTCGTAAGTGTATATATTATATATTAAACCGGGGCAATAAAGATCCTAATATCACCACTTATTCTTAATAACAATTTTCCTTTTCCTGAAATCATCAACAATCCGTCGCTTATCTTTAGCCCTTATATATTTATCTTCGGTATACTTTTTTAGCTTTAAGCCTTTGAAGTCCCTGCGCTTTTATCTATAGATCGCCTTCGAAAGCTATTCGTTAAAGGCGGTCGATAATAGATAGAACTACCCTTGAAACGTAGAGTCGAAAACTTTTATATATTCTATAAGATAGAGGTAGTCAATAGATATGCGGTTCTCTAATAGAACCAGCTAATGACCGAGAGCGCTATATCTGGATATCTAAGAAATCTAGGGGAGATCCACGGCTTCCTTTAGTCAATATTTGCCTATCGTTTTCGCTATAGAGGGGGGAAGATATTAAATAAAAGCAGCGCGGTCAGCGAAGTACAGTAAAACCTGATTATAAAACACGCTAACACTCGTACTTTCTTAAATTATTATCTTCCACGCTATATCGACACGGATATACAGAGTGTTATAAACGGTCGTGAATCTAATAAGTCTCTAATACGCGCGATCACCTATATAAGTAGATAGATTAACAAGAGACGCCCTCGATATCTTACTTCGGAGCAGCGAGCGTCCCTTCGCGAACATCCAGAATATATTAAGGCCGAGCGGCGAATAAGGGAGCAAGGCAAAGAGTGCAAATACAATCCTAGTATAGCGAAATAATCGCGGTTAGAGAAATTGACACGCGAATCCTCTAATATATTCAGTCGGTTAGAAAGAGCACTGAGACGAAAGGTCCGCTATAAGTTCGACCGCAAATAGGCTATAATAGATATTAAACGATAGCTTTCGGGGGCTGCTGTTGATGACGAAGAGGCGAGGAAGGTACTTTAAATAGAAGACTAGATGCTACCGGAGTAGATTGATCTTCTTAAGAACTTATTTATATAGCTTACCTCTCAATCCCTAGAGGCGGAGTGGCAAAGAAGGAACGCTGCTGTGGCTACGATCTCCCGATACTATTGTTTCCTTAAAGGTGGCCCGTTACGTGGGCGATGTAAACGAGTAGTACTAAGTAACAGGTTCGACGAAGAATAGACCGACATGGTACCAGAGCTAGCTAAGAAGAGTTATAATTCTCCGGAGCCTTCGTAGTATAATATTCTTCTCACGAAAGCCGGAAATTATATTAGGAAGGCTAAGAAGCCCCGGCGGTGTTTTTAATATTATAGCGACGCCGGACTTCTGTTACAAACCAAGCCACCTCACTCGCGCCAGCAGGGGTATAGGAGAAAACCAGAGCTAATTAACCCCGCGGTGATAATACAAGACAATAGGGGTATGGGTCACGTGGTAATATACCACGATCCGTTGCTAAGGAATAGTATATCGGATAGTATATTAGTAGGACTACTATATACCCGTATATAGTATACCATAAATAAGGGCATGGAATATTCGGCGAAGGATATATAAGGACACTTATTCATCGTGTATCTAGCTCTTCGCGTTCAACTTATATTATCAACCTTAGTTACTAGTTTAACTCAGATTGTCTCGTTTATACTATGATCCTCTTAAGATAACCCCTCTAGTAGTAAAGCACCTTCAGTACTTCTATTATTAAGTACTCTTTATTTTAATCGTTCCTCGATACCTTAATAGACCTAAGCCTATATAAGGCCTAACAAATAAGGCAATAATATAGTTACGAGGCCGGATATCGTTAGTACTAGAAGACCCTTAGCCTTCTAGTATAACTAGAAAGACCCACGTATCTTAATATCTTAAGAGAAGTATACCTTTAGGTTCTAGCTAATATCTATAAGTAACTAATATATAATACTTTAAACGCCCGTCTTAAATCATAGTATACGAGACGTTAATACTTCAATAACTATAGCCGGTAACGATAGTACTAGCAACCTTTCGCGTAATTCTATAAGCTAATCTACTCTGACTAACGCGTAACTTATAGATATAATTAGTTAGCTCCAAGAGTAACTTATCTAAGAGAGAACTAAACCCGTAATATCTATAAAACTACCGAAACCCGACTTCTTCGATAGAACTCGATCTAAGCTTTAAGGATTCTTAACCTAAATAGATATATAGTTACGTATTATTAACTATATAGAAGAAGCGGATAAGATTATCTACGTTTCGACCTATCTTCGAGAATAAGCCTTTAACTAGTTCAAGCCTTATATTAGGGAATTTAACGAGAAAAGGTAACTAAATTAAGGAGACGTGATTTAAGCGATTTTCTAATTATATACTAACTTTAAAAAAAACTTGAATAGATATTCGGGGATATTGATATATAACGAACCGTAGAGCGATAACTTAAACAGATCCGATAAACTAGCTTAGCCAGTATTTACGCCGCTAAATTCTAGTAGATCATCTTGTATCTTAATTATAATAACGATATATATATTTAGCTATTTGAACGAGGACTTAAAGAAGAAGTTAAAGACGAACTTATAAGAATTAATCGACTAACTGACCTATCCCGGATAATCGAGATAGCGGTCAAATTTAACAACTAGCTTTACAAACGTAGATAATAACGATATAAAGCACAATAGAACGGCACCGGACATATCCTACGAGGATTCCGCCGCCACAACGATAGGCGAGGACAAAGGTAATAATCAGTAAAAGAATTATATAATAATAACCCTTATAGACTAAGACTTATAGAGCTCGATATAGCGAGACTTCCGATTAAAAAATAAGAAGAACGTAAAAGAAAGAATCTTTACTTCTATTATAGTAAGCTAGGCCACTAGATCAAGGATTACTATAAGAAAGTATTAGATAATAGTAATCGGCGATAATAACTATAAGCTATATAGAATAGAGGAGCTTATAATACTACTAGAGTACTAGCTTAGCAACTTTACGTAACGAATAACGATCGCTAAAACGAGGAATCCCTCAGCGAAGACTATAAAATAACTAGATATAATTCAAATCTAAATACCGCGTAGATACTAGTCCTAAAACGCGAAGATGTATTTATTATACGTAAGGAATTCGCTAACGACGGTATACCTAACCAAGGAGAGTTAGAAGGTTTTCTAGAGATTAATTAGGAAATAGTTAAGAGTTAAGGATAGACCTAAAACGGTCCTTAAGAGAATAATAACTCGCCGGATCTATTAGAAGAATCCTCTAGCTAGAGATATAGTATCTTAGAAACACTAGTCGAAATTCTAGTAACGCCTAAACCTTAGGAGACTTCTTAGGAGACTCCGGAATCGCCTTAAGAAGACCCCCTAAGAAAATAAAGACTCGCTTAAGAAGATATAATAACTCCGATAGATAGGAAGCGTTAATATATATAATAAGGACTTTTAACGACTAATAACTCGACTTAATAAGAAACTCAGATACCCCTATCTAAACCTATAGTACGTATACAAAGGACACGTATAATACCTAGACTACTAGGATATATTAACGCTTATATACTACGACGATACTTACTTAATCTATTACTAAGGTAAGCTCGATTATAGTATTAAGCCACGACCCTTAAATTAGATAAAAGAACCTCGATAGAAACCAGAGTTTACTAGAATATAGGTTAACGGACGGAAAATCTACGAATAAGGTACTAATAACTAGTTAGAAAGATAATAGTAAATAGCGGTAATAATATAGGGAAGATATATAAAGCTTAATATCAGCATCCTCTTTTAAGCGACTAAAACGATACTTAACTTGGGAGCTATAGACAATTTTATAAACCCCTAATATTAATAATAGATATAAATTTAGGGCTACGCGAAGCTACGATTAATACCGATTTAAGGACTTAATAGGGAAAGCCTTAGACTAAGAATTACGCACGAAAACGGAAATATCCTAATAACAATCTATGAGTATTTTAAATTAATTAACTTCGATATTACCGAACTAGAGGAATATAATATAGTTCTTAGAGTACCCTAGTTATAGAAGCACAATCCGATAATTAATTAGTAGATAGGAAAAATCGAATTTAATAGATACCTATATAAAGAGGTATATAAAACCTAGACTATAAAAAATCTAACGATATAACTAAAGGAACTGAGTTATAAGGAGACTAGTATCTAATAGAGTTCCTACGAAGAAGAACCTAAAAAAAGCTCTCGGCCCTAAGGCGAGGCTACTTTACTAATCGACGCGTACCACAATATATAGGGTCCCTACGAAGGAGAACTTAAAGAGAGTCCTAGAAATAAGATTATAGGATAATACCAGAAAAACAAAACGTAGATATACAATATTAGTATTATCACAATTATTAAGTAATCACTAAATATAACGGATAATAAACTACAAGACTACGTTATAATCAGATACAAAATAAAATAGATCTATACTACTAATAAGAAACCACGAATCCCGAAAGAATATTAAGACTTCAAGGATGTTTTTACGAAACTAATAGATAAGGTACTACTAGAGCATAGCCTATTTAACCACGAGATTAATATAGTAAAGGGCAAGGAACCTACTATTAAACTAATTTACTAGCTATCTAAGAAAGAGTCTTAGACACTAAAAGAATATATTAACGAAAACCTAAAAAAAGATTATATCCGCAAATCAACTTCGCTAGTAGGATACCCGATCCTATTCGTTCTAAAGAAAAATAGAAATCTACGTCTTTACGTAGATTATCGATATCTAAATTCGATTACTATCAAAGACTAATATCTATTATCTTTAATTTACAAGATCTAAGATCGGATCTAAGAAATAAAATACTTCACAAAGTACAATATTACCAACACGTATCATCGTATCAGGATTAGTATAGGCCACGAGTAGAAAACGGTATTTAGGACTAAATTCGGATACTTCGAATATATAGTTATACCCTTTAGCCTTACTAACGTATTAGTATCCTTTTAGTAATTCGTCTATACTATATTAAACAAATATCTTAATACCTTTATTATAGTCTACTTAGATAATATCTTAGTATTCTCTAAGACCCTCAAAGACTATATCGAATATAACAAAAAAGTACTTTAGAAACTTAGAGAAGCTAAAATATTTCTTAAACTTAAGAAATACGAATTCTATATCTAGGAAATAAGGTTCCTAGGATATATTATTAGTACTAAAAGGTTTAGTATAGAAAAAGAGAAAATCAAAAATATTCACGAATAGCCAACGCCACGTAATATTAAGAACGTCTAGAAG